AACAGATACATAATCCCAGCTCAAAACTGCCCTGGTCACACCCTGCCACCCTCAAGTCTCATCTCTTTCCTCCTCCCGCCATGGGAATCCATCTCCTTCTTCCACAGGAGAAAAGGAGGCTCAGGGGGGACCTTCTGGCTCTGCAACTCCCTGACAGGAGGGGGGAGCTGGGGGAGGGTCAGGCTCTGCTCCCAGGGAACAAGGGACAGGAGGAGAGGGAACGGCCTCAAGTTGTGCCAGGGGAGGTTTAGGTTGGATATTGGGGACAATTCCTTCCTGGAAAGGGTTGTCCAGCCCTGGCACAGCTGCCCAGGGCAGTGGTGGATCCCCATCCCTGGAGGGATTTAAAATCCCTGTGGATGTGGCACTTGGGGACGTGGGTCAGTGGTGGCCTTGGCAGAGCTGGGGGATGGTTGGACTCGATGACCTCGGGGACCTTTTCCAATTTAAGTGATTCTGTGATTCCGTTTTCCCCTTCAAATCCATCTGGGAAGCAGTTTGCATGAAAGGTGCAGCAGCACCAGTTGTGTCTTGGCCTTGATTTATAGAATCCAACTGGAAAATCCTGCCTGTGATTCCTCCCTGAGAGCTCTGGCAGAGTCATCAGCACTCCCCACGCTGACACGTGGGTTGGAAGGGGCTCTTTGACACACGAGTGCAGGCAGCTGGTTTGTGAGGAGGGAGGGATGGGACAGGTTTCCCGGGGCTTCTTCCAGAAGGGGGATCAGATTGCTCACAGTTCACACAGCCCCAGGCTCAGCCATCTATTCTCTCCCCCCAAGGGGGGATGGCAGTCCAGGATGCCTTTGGGATGGGAGTTTTTAAACAGCTCCAGATGCTGAAGGGCTGTGAGTTGAGACCTGAGAAACAGGTGGGTTTTGCTTTTCCTCCTCTCTTCCTGTCACTTGTACAATGGAAAACCAAAGGCCAAGTGCGTAATTGGAGTTAAAACTCAGCTTTAATGTTCCTGTCTGAGCTGCAGGGCTTTGACTGCAGGTGGTTTGTGCAGCAGGAGGCACTGAGCTCACATGTTTTGGGTCTTTTCTGCCCCCAGGGAGCTGAGCCAGTAATTCCTGCAAACCCCACAAGGGTTGGAAGTGCCTGTGGGAAGCGCTCAGCTCTTCAGATGGGCAGGAACAGGAACAATTTTGGGAGCCCTGGAGCCTCAGAGCTGAACTGGACCCAGCAAAAGTGTTCAGGCCAGGTCTCAGGAGAGCTCCAGGAGGCTTTAAGAGGTGGTGAATTGAACACAATCCCTGAAAACCATCGGGCTTTGCTCCGAGCTTTGCATGAAATGAGCGTGACCGGTGTCTCTGCAGAGGCCCCCTGGGAAATCCCATCCTCCTGGATCAGTCAGAGCCAGGGAAACACAGGGCAGCTCCAGCCTCATGGGAAGGGACCCTTCACTTGGATGATGGCTCCAAAAAAGGAGCAGCCCTGGTGTCTGTGCCACCACTTGTGCAGAGCTCACGTGGTCCTTTCCGTGAGAATTTGACACAAATCAGTCAAAAAGGGGTTTGAATTTCTCAGTTCGTCTCCTTTTACTGTTCCAGCCTTTATTGAGGGCTTTGCTCTATTTTTTTTTTCTCTGCTGCCCAATCTGGACCCCTCATAAGTGTCACCTCCACCATAATTACACCTTTAATTTCTTCCTGTCCCTTGCTCATTCCAGTGGAAGGGGTCCCTGCTCATGGCAGGGGGTGGAACTGGGTGGTCTCAAAGGTCCCTTCCAACCCAAACCATTCTGTTCTTCTGGGATTTTATGATTTTATGATTCTCTAACTTTGTGATTTTTATGTTCTGCATCTGCCCCTGTGCATTTTTCCCTTTGTTGCTGCCTGGTGCTTCCCTTTGATATTTGACATAAATCCACACACACAACCTTCTCTAACAAAGGCTGTGGGGTGAAGACAACGTGTTTGCCACCTCCTAATGGGGAGCAGAACAAACCTGCATGTTGAGTGATTAGACAGGGTTTGGAACGAATCAAAAGCACTTGTGGCCTGTTTGTGCAAAGCCTCAGAAAGGCTGAGTTTGCCTGAGTGAGGAATTCCCTCCTCCTTGCAGGGGTTTGGTTGATCTGACCCGAGTTACAGCAGTTGCACGGTACATTTTTTTTTTCCCCTCCCCTCCCAAGAGGTTTGTTTCTTCTTTTTGGTGAGGGAACAGAACCCTTGAGAGGTGCTGAGAGGCTTTTGGAGAGGCAAAATGCTCACCTTGGGCTGCCTGTCACAGCCACGGCATCTTTTGGAGTCATCCCAGCAGAGCTTTCCTTCTGGTGTGGGAAAGGTGCTCTGAGTGCTCACAGTCCATAAAAACCTCCAAGGGAACGTATTCTCTGCCTTGCAAGGTGGTGGAATTAGGAAGGACTGGAGCTGTGAGTTGGGAATACATCTTCATGATGGTTGAGGTGTGGTTTTGGTACTGAACCCCTCAGCACCCCCAACCCCCAGGTTTGGGCAGGACTGTGGGACTCGCTCTTTGGCAGGGAATTGATGCAGGAAAAATGTGAAATGGTTGGATTCAATGATCTCAAAGGTGTTTTCCAACCTAAATAATTCCATTGAAGTGTCCAAGGTCAGGTTGGATGGGGCTTGGAGCAACCTGGGATAGTGTAAGTTGTCCCTGCCCATGGCACGGGGTGGAATGAGATGGTCTTTAAGGTCCCTTCCAACCCAAACCATTCCATGATTCCATGATTCTGTGCATAAAAGCTTTGATTTCAACCTGGGCAACAAATGGCTACTTCAGGGAAGGGAGAAGAGCAGGTTTCTCTTTGGGAAGCTGGTGGGATCACCTGGGGACTCATCAGCAAACCTTAAAACCACAAGTGCTGCCCTGAGAAACTCCTGAAAGGTGGTTGGGTGCCACATCCCCAAAGAATTTCCTGATTGTCCCTATTCCATTAGGAATTTTAGCTCCTGTTTGTGATCATTTAGGATGTTAATTGGAGGGAAAAACTAAAGGAAGTGTCCTGAGATGCAGATGAGGAACTTCCTCTAGGATACAGCCTTGGAAGCTCTCCTGCTGTTTTGGGAACTTCATTCAACTTGCACCGCAAGACTTTTCCATCAGGGCCAGAAATTTGGGAAGGCAGACACTGGAGAAGGTCTTGAGCTGATTCTGGTCTGGATTTGGTCTGAATCTTCTCCCTGGAGCAGAGGAGAAGAGGCTCCTGAGGTGTTGGACAGAAGATGCAGATGAAGCTCAACAGGGAATCCAGGAGCTGGGAGGAGGAAAAGTGTAGGACTGTGAAGGTCTGAGGGATGTTCTGGATCCAGGGAAGCCCTAAGGGTTGGATTCTCCTGCCTGCAAAAGGGGATGTGAGGCTGCAGGTGAAGTGACAGCTCGGGGACTCATCCATCAGTGTGGAGTGTGGACACACATCCAGGGAAAAGCAGCTTCAGAGTTACCACCCTCCTGGGAATAATGATGGGAATTTATCTCCCTCTCCTGCTATTGCTTCATCCCTCCCCCCTCCAGACCCAGCCAGGCCAATCCTTAATGTGTTCTGGAAAGCTGGAAAGCCTGGGAGTAATTAAGTACCTGACTCCAGGGGGTGCAGATCTCTAATTGAGGTCGTTAGATGGTATCACAGGACCAATAATTTTAATTATAATGGAAGGGCTGCAGCAAAAAAACCAAACCGACAAACACAGGAACAAAACAAAACAAAAAAAAGCCCCAAACAGCAAAAAGAAATCCGGTGAATCCCCCCCCAGAAGTGTTTAATCCACGGGTTGGATGTTGTCCCATGGGATGAGGAATTACAGCACCTGTTTCTGGTGTAAAATAAGGATATTTTTAAGGGAAGAGAAATTCCTGTGAGGCAGAACCAGGGTTTGAGTCGGGATGTTGGTGTTTGTGGGAAGCAGGGATCCAAATTTCAGGAACAATGGGATTTTTTGCTGTGCCTACAACCCACCGAGCTCTTGTTTTGGTGCTCAGTCAGAAACTGAGTTCAAGGGATTCATCTGCTCTGAAAATCTTCCCAGATTCCCTACACAGGGATCAGTGATCCTGCCTAGCCCTGGGATTAGGGATGTGCTCTGCCTAAGGGTTTTTAGTTCAGAGGTGCAAAGTCTCTGATAGAAGAGCAAGGTTGGAAAACAGAAAACTCGTTTCCCAGGAAATAAATACTGAGCTTTTGGTGCAATTTGGCTTTGGAACAACAGTGACAAATCAGGGATGGAAAAAAAAATTGAAATAAAAGATAAAGAGGGGAAAATAAAGTGCTTATTAAAGATAATTCCAGGGAAAGAAAAACGAGGGCTGAAATAAAGGCCCAGATGTTCCTCTTTTGTTTCACCTGCTTTTGTTCAGAAAACAGAAAATGGGCTTCCCAGAGGGGCCCCGGACAGGAAGGGGAATGGAATTTGTTTCCCACTTTTCCTCTGCCCACACACTGGTCAGGGATGGTCCCGGCAGGAGATGGAAGGTTTCACCACTCCTGGTTTTCACCTGCTCTCCTGAGCTTTTCCTTTCAATCCTGGAGACGAGTCCAAAGGGACATTTACCCTCTCTGCACACTGGTGTTATTTCCAAGGGCTACGAAGCAAATCAAGGTGATAATTTCAGATTTTTCCTTGATTTGACTCTGAGTTCAATGAGATGAGCCCAACCTAAGCCACCAAGGTTTCTTGTCCTCCGAGAAAGCACCTGGTGATGGGAGGGAGCAGCCAAGGAACCATCATTCCAATTTATCCAGCTAAAAAAAAACCACGAACAAAAAGAAAATAAGATTAAAACATCATTTACTGCCTTGTTTTTCTACTTGCAACCCCCACATTTTCCTAGGGAATGTATTTTTCCATGGCTTAAAGAGGAAGGAAGAAATCCAGTGAGAGATTTCCAGCTGTTTCACAGACCAGGTGGTTGGAACTACCTGGATTTGGTGACTCTGCTGAGGGTCACAGAGGTCACACAGTGCCCAGGAGCCTTTGGAGCAACGGGAATTTGCTTGGCACACCTGTTAAAATCCCTGAGGGGGTTTTGGCCAAGGCCAACCAGGCAATTCCTGGGCTTTGCTCAGGAGACACCACGAGCCAAGGCCCGTTCCCGGTGGGTTTGCCAGGGATTGCTCCGCTCTGAAGGGGAAGGAAGTTTAATAACATGGATTAAGGGAGTTTAGTGACATGAACGAGGCAGTTCTGGGGCATTTGGACCAGCATTTTGAATGTCATTAATTAACTAATTTAAGCCCAGCACTGAGGCCACCCTTTCCCTGCAGGCACTGCCCATCCCTCAGGCAACCTGCGGAGGATGTTGGACAAACATGTTCCACTTTAATCCCTTTCAACCCCCTACATTCGTCTTCCTTCACGCTGCTCCCAGCTCAGGAGGCAGAAAACACTGGCAATGACCTGAGATAGCATGAAATAAATGTTGGCTCTGTCTGATTTCTCAGGAACAGATAAATCCCCTTTTTCCTAAAGCAGGTGTGTGGGAATTCACACTCACACGGAGCCGGCGAGGGGTCAGGGACGTGTGTTTGGAAAACAAGCCCATCAGGAGCTTCTTGGAGAGCCTGAAGTGTCCTCTCCAAGAGGCAAAGCCTTTCTTGGGTTGAGCACGACCTCGGGAAGGATGAGCCACGTGAGAGATGCCTGAGGATTCTTTGCTTACCCGGAGCTGAAAAGGGGAGGAAGGCACAGGAGGGAACACGATCCCGCTCTATAAATACCTTCAAGGTAATAGCGAGAGGGGAGGAAGAGGATTAGTCACACTCCTGTAAGACAGGGAGGGGAGGGGACACAGCAACAGCAGGAGGCAGGGAGAGGGAAAAGTTTGGAGTGAAATGTTTGGGCTGTTTTTTCTTCCTCATTTCTGACAGAAAGAGAAGTTGCAGGGGCTCAGTTTGAGCTGGGCCTGAGCCAGGGTGGGATTTTTTTGGGGAGATTTGTGAGTCACGGGCATGAGGGATAAATGGTGCAGGATCTGCAGGTTCTTGGGGTGTCCCTGAGCTCAACCAGGGGCCTGGGTTTAGCCTTTGGGACGGGGACAGTGTCAGTAGGCACAGGGTCGCTCCGCTGCCTGGTGCACTTGGAATCCAGACTTGGCCAAAGTTTTCCCACCCCCCCTTTTCCCTGCATCCCAGATATTCCCACGTTCACGTTGAAGGTGCCATGGGAAGATGGAGTTGGCCAACCAAGAGCCTGGATGGCCATTTGGTGGTGGGGCTGGGAGGTGGCTCTGTGGTGGGTGATGATTTTGGGCAGGCTCTGGGCTCTGCCTGTAAATATTTGGGGAGGTGGCTCCTCCTCTCCAGCAGAAGAGCCCCGTTTGTGGGACCTTAGACCCCATTTCACCCTCTCCGCCTCCCAAACCCTCCCTACTCCCAGGAATGAGAATTCCTGCCCTCAGCCCTGGCCCTGAACTCCCTGGAGCTGGAGGTGAGGAAGGCAGGAGCTTTGGTATGACCTCCCTGAGGGGTTGGCTCCGAGCCACACGTGGACAATCACTCTCACTGTCACCTTCCCTCGTGCTGGGACTCAGAAGTGAATGTTTTCCAAAAAAAAATGTGGGTTGCTGCTGCCAAGATTCTTCCCTCTCTCCTCAAGCAAGTGCCAAGAACTCCGTCTTCTCACAACAAATCCAGTGGCCAAACACAGGTTTCCCTGGAGAAAACCCTTCAGGCTGGTAGGAATTAACCAGTCGATTCAACTGAAGGTGAATAAGTTAATGTTGTTATTCTTCTGCCTCTGGTTTCCTGGGACAATGAATCTCGTGTGTGTGTGTCAGTCTGTCCACCCCTAATAATTTTGGAGCCCCCTGGGCAGATTAGAGAGAATCATGGAATGGTTTGGGTTGGAAGGGACATGAAAGATCATCTCCTTCCAACCCCCTGCCGTGGGCAGGGACACCTTCCACCAGACCAGGGTGCTCCAAGCCCTGCCCAAGCTGCCCTTGCTTCATATGAAGACTCAGAAGATGTTCAGATCCCACAGGCTGAGGGGAAATTTGCTTTGGAAAAGGGAACTCCTGGTGTTGATCACTGGGGGGAAAAGTCAGTGTGGAGTTCACAGCAGAAAAGGTGTGTGGAAGGAGGTGGAGAAATCCAGGACCTTGTTTTTTTCCCAGGGAGGCAGTAAAGTGATGCAGATCTGCAGAGAGCCAAGGAAATATCTTCCTGGGATTGCAAGGCAATCCCTGGAGCCTGCAAGTCCAGGGAAAAAAGGGCAAAGTGAGAACTTTCTGAGGGTTCAGGGCTGCTCCTTGGAGGTGGAGGAGCAATGTCAGAGGGGAATTACAGTCCTGGGGCTGTTGAGCATCCAAGCAGGGGAGCTGTGGGCACTGGTGGGATGTGTCATCTCTCAGGAGATGCCCAGATGTTGGACCTGTGCCATCTGCACCTTCTAAGGAGGGTTAGATTTTCCAGAGGCATGGATATGGGTTTGTGTGTTCATGGAGCTGCTGGAGAGAGTCCAGAGGAGGCCCCGGAGCTGCTGCCAGGATTCTGGAGCCCCTCTGCTCTGGAGCCAGGCTGGGAGAGCTGGGGGGGTTCCCCTGGAGAAGAGAAGGCTCCAGGGAGAGCTGAGAGCCCCTCGCAGGGCCTGAAGGGGCTCCAGGAGAGCTGGAGAGGGACTGGGGACAAGGGATGGAGGGACAGGACACAGGGAATGGCTTCCCACTGCCAGAGAGCAGGGTTAGATGGATTTTGGGAAGGAATTGCTGTCTATGAGGGTGGTGAGGCCCTGTCCCAGGTTGGTCAGAGAAGCTGTGGCTAGCCCTGAGTCCCTGAAAGTGTCCAAGGCCAAGTTGGAGCACCCTGGGCTAGTGGAAGGTGTCCCTGCCCATGGCAGGGGGTGGAACTGGATGATCTTTAATGTCCCTTCCAACCCAAACCATTCCATGTTTCTGTGATCTTAACATGGGGACTTGCAGGACTCCCCCAGGTTGGATTTTCTTGCTGTGGTGCCACCTTGAACATGCCAAGGATGTGGGAGAACCATTCAGGGGGCAGCAGTTGGTGATGAGGGGAATTGAGGAAAGACCAGGCTGGTGTTGAGGTAGAACCTGCCAAGGGTTGAGTCCACCTCGATGGACAAAGCATGGACAGGGAACACCTGGTTGTCCCAAGGCTTTTTTGGCAGCTTCCCTGCCTGGTTCAAAGTGTGTTGTGGCTCTGTTTGCACCTCCCACGTGCTGCTGAGCTCTGATGGGACACAAAGCTCTCTCCATCCCTGTCATCCGATGTGTTGGGTGCCAAAAGTTGATGGCCCAGCATGGAATGGTCGATAGCTGGTGACTCCAACAGCTCCTGGGACAGGGAAGGGCAGGGATTAAGGGAATTGGTGCTTTCTCTGCTTCTCTGCAGGTGATTTGTGTGCTCATCCCCCTCACTCCCTGTCCTGCTGCCCCCACAAATTCAGGGGCTGATCCAGAGGGGCAGAGTTTGGGATCTACCTCACTGTGTGTGATGCTGAAATCAGAAAACATCAGAAGGGGGAAAAAAGAGTGAAGGAGGAGAGGAAAAAGGAGTGAAGGAGGAGGGGAAGAAGTGGAGGAAGAGGAGGGAAAAGAGTGAAGGAGGAGAGGAAAAATGTGTGAAGGAAAAAAGAGTGAAGGAGGAGAGAAAAAAGAATGAAGGGAAAAAGAACGAAGGAGGAGGGGAAAAAAGGAGTGAAGGAAAAGGGGAAAAAGCGGGAAAGAGGAGGGGAAAAAAGTGAAGGAAAAAAGAGTAAAGGAGGAGAGAAAAAAAAGAATTAAGA